GGTGAGATTAAACATAGAAAGTAATGGTAAGGTCATTGGAGGAACGCTCCGAGGCCAGATTCCTTTGTCTCGACAGGCTGTAAAACGACAACAGACCTGACGTAGATTTTACAGAGAGTGGTGCGCAAAACACACAAGTAATCCCCTATGAATGATGCATGCAAGCGGGGCCAGTCCATAACAAGATCCATCATCCTCTTAGACTTTATCCAAATAGATCTGTGGTGTGGCAGCTGCAGGCTAACCAGCCAGATTCATACACCTCACACATTTTCCTGCATCAAAATTAAGTTACTTTCAATTATACATATAAAGACATACTGTGGTGGACAGTAACTGAGGTACATTTGAAGTACATGTTATGAGGTACATGTACTTAACTTGACTTAGACTTCTACTCCACTACATTTCAGAGAAAATACCTCGCTTTTTATGCCACTATATTAATTCAAGACCTATTTTACCTATTTTGATTTAACATAAAAAAATAACAACATATGAACACTTTATAAAATACGATGCATTATCATAGATTAAGAAAACGAAGGAGTAAATGAAGTAAGATATTTAATGCGGGACTTTTTCTTATATTATGTTTTTATGTTGTATCATTGTTACTTTACCTTTACATAAGTAAACAATTTGAATACCACTGCTGACATTAATTCTACAGTTTTGCTGACAGCAGCAAAGCTGAGATAAACAAGAATCCATTTTCTTTTTGTTTTTGCCAAAATGTTCTTCTGTCAGATGCAGTAGAATATTCTAATCACACTTTTACAGAAGTTACAACTGTGCTGTTGCAAACCCTAGGAGTAAGTGGAAGACACTGACATTTTAATCCGTCAGATTAATTTTGCAGTGTAGACTCTATTTTCAACTACATGAACGTCGCAATTAATTATAATTGTTGTGTCACAATAGTAAGTAATTTTAAGTAGTTAATTTCATGAATAAGATGCATAACATACTGTATTGAGGTTGGTGGTCATGGTTAACTGTGCTGGTCCAGTATTTTATGTCCATTCACTTCTTTCAATGTTTAATTCACTAAAACAAGAACAAAAATCGTATGCCCTCTCACTGTTAAATAAATGGTCAAATGAAATTAAATATTCCTATAATCTGCTGTGTTTGCATTGATTTGTCTGTGGATGCCATAGTTATAAGAACCTGTTATGTATCCACACACACACACAAACACGTGTTGTGTGTAATGCTGTGTGTTTCGCTCACTCATTCACTTTGTGTCACTGTAATGATTAACCCTGTGTATGCGCCTGGGGCTTGTTTTGTTGATATCATCATCACTGCAATCCACCTGAACAGTGAAACTATGTATCATCACAGAACAGGACTAAACAGGCTTTTTTTCTCAGCAGACATTTTCACTTGTCATAGCAGCAGAAGCACATGTGGAACTAATAACATTGCATAGCACTGAGGTGTGTCAGCGGCCCAGCGTGCACAATACCAGCCTCCCGTAACAGGCCAATGAAATGTAGCCATTATTCACGTTATTAACAACACCTGACACGTCCAAATGTCTCCAGTGACCACGGCCTACAGTGTGTGTCTGTCAGCGCACCGTAAAGAATGACTTCATCACCACTGGCTGTTTCACTGTTAGACGGCATTAATCCTCCATGTGTCACGTCGTCACATCCGAAACCCTGCAGAAGAGTTCTCCCAAGTAATAATTTAATTACTTTGAGTTTAATTACTTTGCAGGGAGATGACAGGTGTAAGCGGCAATAAGCACTGTCAGACTGCTGGAACGTGAAAGAGCAGATTTATGATATTTTATTCTTTGCTCTGCCCTTGGTGACACTCAGTAAGACTGGACATTATTGAATAGTAGACACTAGTAGAAAATAGCTGTGACACAAAGTGAGGTTCCAATGTGAAGCAAAATAAAATCAATTGGTCTGTGCCTCTCAGAGGGCCAGATGTTGTCGGAGTAAAAAAAAAAAATCAAATATATCGATCAGTGAAAACTGGCAAGAATCCATATCTCTGTAGCCACAATGTAAAAACATTTTTCATGGCAGTAAAATTAATGTTTATCTCTGTCCTAGCCCATAAATAAATGTATTTAATTTCTTTTACAGAAGCATTAAAGAAAACTGGTATAACAATATGTGTTCTTTATCTGTCCTGCAGCTGTTATAAATATGATAACATCTATTTTTAAACAGTATTATCAAAAATGAAATAAACATGCAGTAGGCTGTATTTTTGTCTGAAAACATGTATCTAGTTTAAACTTGAAGACTTGACTTGTGTCCTTGTGGTGTCAAATTGTTTCAAGTAAGTGTCAAAAATCAGTTTGGAACTAGGTGAGGTTTTTACTCTTTCCAATCGCTGCGTTACTTTTTTGTTTCCCCTCTCTGCAGGACGTGCTCCTGATCAAAGAGTTGCTTGATGTGGCTAATTACTATTAACTCAAAGTGCAGTGTTACCAAGATGTTTAAGATAGTGACACTGCAGTCTTGTGGGGTGCTGACTGTGCAATTAGGTCGCACAAACTGTTGTTGGACAACTGCTCTGTCCCCCCTAGGACCACTCTGCTTTGCTTACTTTGCAAAACTGGCACTAGTATGCTAATTATACACAACCAGGATTTTGAGCCTGTGTATTGTACCTGTGATTTTTTGTTTATATTCACATGTATGTTGTTTCACCAATACATTTTTTATATATCTCAGTTCTATCTCAGCAGTTGTCAGTTTTTTTTTTTTTTTTTTTTTTTTTTTTTTTTTGACTCCAAGCTCCATTGGTTTTCATTAACCATCTAATCAGGAGCTGAGTCACACATGGGACACCAATGCAATTAGTCAGCAGGTCGGATAAAAAAAAAAAAAAAAAAAAACTATCCCTCCTCTACAATAATCTTTTTTTACTTCTCATTTGTAATCTCCCAGAAGAAATGGGTGTTTGACTTTATTAGAGAGACTTGCCTTTCAGTTTGAATGTTAAGTTTTTACTGTATGTGTTTATGTTTACTTCTTCATGTAAATCCTGAATCCTAACCCTAAGATAACAGCATGACAGACTTTTCAAATATTGCTGGAAGTCTCTGGAAGAGTTTATTCTTAGCTTTACATACAATAGGAAAAATCAGTGTTCACAGTTTGGAGGTACTTCACTGATGCTGTATGGATAGACAGAGAATGCACCTTCATGGGCTATCCAAGAGTCACTGTGGGTTTTCTGTTCACAAGAAACTCGCTAAATTGGCAATTTTATAGATTTGAAATCCATTTAATAGAGCGAGGAGTTCCTGAATGCAACTTAATTACTTTCTCTGTACTGATCCTAAGGAGGAAACAGCAAATTGATTTCTATGCAGTGTCTTGAGGTGCTCACTGGACTAAAGTACACGGCCTGTGCTCCTGAGGGACGATTAAAAGTTTCCCTGTCCTCCTGTCCTCCTGACATCCTCTGATAAGACAAGACAAATTCCGTAAAGTACATTTAAAACAAACATCATATGACTGTTCAGTGTTTCTGTATCTAAACGCCAGCTGTCCCATGTGTGTGGTCCCATGAAATAGCAGTGAGATACTGAAACAAGATGCTGGGGCACGACTTGAGAAGTGATTCATTTCAGATCAGCACTCGGATACAAAAAGTGTCAGAGTGTGTGGAAGCAGAAAGCGATGATGGTGATGATGATAGCAGCATTGCTGCAAACTGAGAGTGAAGAGTCATAGATTTGGTTTAAAGAAGAAAGGGGCCCTGCAGGTTTGTATATGATGTGAGGCACTGGCTTGGTCAAAACCTATGATCAGATTTGGTGGACAGGAGGTTTAAAAACAGGATGCTTCAGCAGAGGAATTTAAAGGAAGAGAAATGAGAATTATTTTCATTTTAAACATTAAGAAAAGTTGTTTTTTGGTCATACTAAAAATGTGGCATAGATGGTGAAACATTACACCCAGCAGATTGATTTTATGGGAAATATCCTGTATCATCTTATATAATTATTTTCATTAATATACCATGCAATGAAAAGCTGTTAAGAGGCTATGAGTATGAGTAGGCTATCAGTTAACTAACAAAATCAGTTTGAGCACAAATTTAAATATATCTATAAGACTTTGAGACAAGATTTTGAAGAGTAGAGTAGATGTAAAAAAAAAAAAAAAAAATCAAAAAATCAAAAACTAGCAGCACATATTCAAGAGTATTTTTTTTACTGTGTGATTGAACAATTATGACAGCTGGGCACAAATATATGGTATTTAAAAGAAAAAATCTTAAAAACAGTAGAATTATTCCCTTTATATACTAATGATCTGGAACTGGCATTGACTCAAACAATGTTTGCAGTATATTATGTATTTGCACAGCAGGACAAATAATCAATAAACTATATCAAAATATGTTCTGTTGCGGTCTGTGTTGCTACACTGAAGCCGTTATTCTTAGCTGCCTGTTGCACGACTGTAAATGCAAAGTGAGCGGAGCAGCTTTCCTTGATTACATTGCCAGTGAAGCCTTTTGGTTCTCCACATGCAGCTGTGTGCTGTTGCGTAGCTGCCCAATGGAGCAGCCTCATTAGGCCACATTTCAAACTCCGTCAGTACTGACATCGCATAACTCAGAGTAACTGTGTACTGTGTCATACAGTGATTTATGGTCATTGTTCTTCACTGTACCCTTGGGTGCTTTAGTACGGTAAAAAACTTTCTTTTTTGATGACTACATCAAAATAAACAGACACTGCCCGATGACTTTCTATTAGCCTGTTTGAGGTTTTCAGCGACGAAGGCATTCCTGCAAAAGGTGGAGCAGGTGAAGCTGGAGTGCCCTCACTAAGAGGCTCCATTCACCCATTGACACCAAAAATTAATGACACACTTACACATGCTCAATGTTTTTCAAATGTAGCCCTGCTCCTTGCTGTTTAACTGTTCTGGTCATTTAGAAATAGAAGCTCAGTTTCTTCCCACGGAAAAGGAGGTGCAGGATAAGATGTGGCTGTGTTCTCTTACCTTTGGATACTGTTGAACTGGAATGAGCACTCTTTCGGAGAGCTTGATATTTTTATTGCTGATGATATCAAGATATTTCTTCATGTCACCATCTTTTCTCAATTCGTCCCCTTCATACTTTTCAATCTCTGCAGCAAAAAAAAAAAAAGAAAAAAAAAGAAAAAGAAAAAAAAATATAGATAAGAAGATAATTAGTTTGTTAGGTAACTGAAAAAGCATCACTCACATCTTTAAGCCTGCTCTGGAGCCAACTGCAGCATGACAACCAACCAAACAGTGTGATGTTAGTCTGGGGACACATTAGGAGAAATGTAACTAAGCGCTGCATCACACAGTGAATATTTAGATGATTATTTTGGTGTATCAGCTGTAAATATGCTTGCATTGCAAACTTTATAATATGAGATTATCCCGCTGACTCCTGATACGTCCTTTACATCAGGCCCTGTAATCTCATGATCCAGTAATTCCAATCAAAATAACAACAGAGGCAAACAGTCACACTCAGCTTGCTGCGCCTCACTTCACTGCAAACCGAGCTCTGGTGGGCTGTCAGCAGTCTCTGATCCCCACATAGCAAAGGACTTAAACAGATGTCAGATTAAACATATAAAACATTTGATATTAAAGTCATTTGGGGTTCAGATTAGATCTGTGAACTCTCACATTAAGATCATATTTGCAGATCATTGGTTCCAATCAAACTGCAGTATTTCCCCTCATAATTTACTAGATGGACAAATCATGTGCAAATTGGCTCGATAGTCCTCCTGTGTCTCCCCAGTGTTATTGCTAATAGGAAAGAGATGAGAGGTGGATATTACTGTCCGGCTCAGCTTGACAGGAACAACCAGAACACTGATTTTTCTGGACTGATGCATTTTACTGCACTTGGACTGAAAACACCCACAAGACATTAAGCTCTTGAACTGAATCTATCTGTTGTTCATCTTGCAGGGATCCTCCTTGGTCGCTAATTAATACTCAGTGGAATTGTAATTATCAGTCGGCACCACACTTGCTGGACAATAAAAGCTGTTCCTGAACAAGAACCCCTCCTGAGTTGCTATATTGAAACTCAAGAGTTAATTTAGGCTGGAGCACTTCACCCTTATCTGAGCTGCCAACAGCTGGTGGACAAAGCTGTGAGGTTAACAAACAGCTCTGGCTCGGACGAATGAATGGCTAAAAATGTTCACTAAAGAAGGAGGTCGAGTGTGGACTGTTATACATCCTCATAAGTGTCTGAATCCGAAAGAATCTTTGTTAAATGTCTCGGAATCTGACTAATTATCAGTTTATGTGGATATTGTGTTGCCATGTTGGCAAAATGTTGCCCACTGGACATCCACAACAGCTTAATGATCCATCTTTTCCAGGCAGTCCCAATATTCACTTGTTACAGTTTCGAATGGCCAGAGGTTTCCGTTTTGCACCATGAATTAAGGTAATTTGTTTGGTATTGCTATTGTCTGTGAAATCACAAAGACCAAATTCCAACTTGCATCGATTTCTTCCAGCATGACACAGTCTCTCTGATTGTGCCTGATTGTTCAGGGAAGATCATTTAAATTGGAACATGCTGTCTCACCTTCTTTGCTATTTCTCTCTAAGACGACTCTTAGCAAAGCTGCAAAACACTCTCAGAATCAGAGGCCATTCAAAATGGGAGAGTGCAATGATTGAATGTGAAAAATACCTTTTTAGGATATTAAGTATGTGAGTCACTGCCAGATGGAAGAGTCTTAACAGAGATATTTGCCGAAGGAAAAGTTTTGTTCATTACTTCTCAGGACTACTTTCTGGATTCTTTATCAAATCTTTCAGGCGGGTAAACAGACTGAAAGACCCCTCTAACCTTTTCTTCCCATCAGCACGGCTGATTCACACTTCGTGACACTTAGCACAAGACAGGTGTCCCAGGATAACAGGAGCTTACAAAATGTGCCTTTTAAAAATAACACTTATGTGGTTTGCCAGAGGAGATAAATCAAACACAACCTGTGGTGTACATATTTTCAACTAGCTGTGCTTTATATACAGTAGCATGGTGCTGCATAGGGACAAGCTAAACATACAAAGTATAGGCCTGTAGGCTACATGAAGAGAATGTGTCATTTCATTTACTATTAACGGGGATGTCAGTCCAACAATTTGTTCCAGATTCAAATATTTTAACTTCTACTTTTTGTCATTAAATGTGATACAGATATTCATGGTCCCCAGGTGATAAATTGTAATAACTTTGATCATCCTGTTCTCTATTGCCATCTTCATGTTTCTCCATGACTTTGGTTAATAACAAAATACTTGCAAAACTAGTGACATTCCCATCACCCTCAGGTGAAATTTGTCTAATCAGCAAATGTTGGCATGCTATCTTGAGGGACAACATGGCAGACATTACCTGCTAAACACTAGCATGTTATCATTGTGATTGTGAGCATGTTAGCATGCTGTTGTAAGCAACGTCATAGTACAGTAAGGCATAAAAACATCAAAAAATGTCATAGTACAGTGAGGCATAAAAATCTCAAAAAACGTCACAGGATAGTAAGGCATAAAAATCTCAAAAAACGTCATAGTATAGCATGGCATAAAAACCTCAAAAAACGTCATAGTATAGTGAGGCATAAAAACCTCAAAAAACGTCATAGTATAGAGAGGCATAAAAATCTCAAAAAACGTCATAATATATACAAGGCATAAAGAGAAAGATTCTAAGACTGTAGTCGAACCTACATTTTTCTAGCTGTGAAGCGACAATTCTAACCACTCTACTACGGTTTTTCCCTGCTTCCTCAGTGTTATGCAGCATAAAATGTTAAAAAACGTCATAGTATAGTAAGGCATAAATATCTCAAAAAACGTCGTAGTATAGTGAGGCATAAAAACCTCAAAAAACATCATAGTATAGTGAGGCATAAAAATATCAAAAAACGTCACAGTATAGTAAGGCATAAAAATCTCAAAAAAAGTCACAGTATAGTAAGGCATAAAAATCTCAAAAAACGTCATAGTATAGCATGGCATAAAAGCCTCAAAAAACGTCATAGTATAGCATGGCATAAAAACCTCAAAAAACGTCATAGTATAGTGAGGCATAAAAATCTCAAAAAACGTCATAATATATACAAGGCATAAAGAGAAAGACTGAAGTCGAACCTACATTTTTCTAGCTGTGAAGCCACAATTCTAACCACTCTACTACGGTTTTTCCCTGCTTCCTCAGTGTTATGCAGCATAAAATGTTAAAAAACGTCATAGTATAGTAAGTCATAAA